CGGGGCCTGCAAGGGCAGCCTGGGCTCGCCCCCGGCCCCCAGGCCAGGAGGAGCCCCCGCCCAGGGCCAGGCCTGGCCTCACAGCCCTGGGGACTGCCTCTAGGCTGTGCTACGTCCTGGCTAGGCGACCAGGAGGACACCGTCTCCACAGGGCCTTCCTGCCCTGCCAGGGGGCAGCGGCTGAATGACTCTCCGACTTCTGTCTGCTTGTCCCTCTGCTCTTTGCACACAACCTGTGGCCAACACGGCCTCCCCCTCCTGCAGGCTCCCCGTCCGTCTCCCGCCCACCAGGACCGAGGCCAGGCTGTGCCCCTGTGTCACATGGTGTCCGGCCAGTGAGAATGCTCTCAGGGCCCAGAACCACCAGGCCGCCGCCTCACCTCCCGCCGGGCGGGCCCGCACCGGACTCCCAGCAGATGCTTAAGGAGGCAGGAAAGGGAGCTCCATGGGGAAAGGGGGCAGGGGGCTCACTGTCCCCAGGGAGGGGAGAACTGTGCGCCATGCGAGTAGGAGGACGGGAGACCCTCCCAGCTTAGACAGCCCGAGGGCTCGGGTGACGGAATCTGCAGGAGGCGCCCAGGCTGGCAGCCCCGCGGCTCCGGTTGGCCGTGTTCACACTCCCATGGATCAGAGTGACAACGCGCTGCTCCCCGGCCCAACCCCAGCGCCTTCTGGAGTCAACCCCAGAGGAGGTGGCGTCAGGAATCTGCGTCTCAAACGCACCATGGACCTCCCTTTAAGCAACAGAGACTCAGGCCGAATGTGCACAGAACGGACGAGTCCGAGGCTGCCCCCCACTGGCTGGGCACCGCCCTGCAGGGCTGGGTACCCGGGTCCTCACGCCCTGTGGCCCTGGTGCCCCTCGCCATCAAGGACCGAGGTGGAAGGGATGAGAAGTCCTGGGCATGGGATCTGTCCGCTCGGCTCCTGCTCGGTCACAGGGACTGCATCACCCACACCCACTCGGGGCCACTGGCACCCGCCCTGCTCCTCGCTCCTCGCTGGTCCCACGCCCGCCCCACCGCCTCACTCACCATAGTCCTTCTTGCAGTACTTTTTCATGTTGATCTTCAGCTTCCCTTTGGAGGCCTTGCAGTAGGAATCGCAGTCTGCAGGGAGGGAGAGCACAAACAAAACCCAATTAGGCTGGTGCTGACTAGGCCTCGGGCGAGAGGCGGGGCCGCCTCCCTAAATACCCAGAGGCCCCTGATACCCCGGGCCAGGCCGGCTTCGGCCATTCAGGGCAGGCCAGGCTTCTAAAGAGGCGCTTGGGACAAAGGCCCCCCTCCCCTCTTACCCCCCAGCCTGAGGAATCCTTCAGCCGCTGCCTGCAGCCCCCTTGGCCTCCGGGAGGGACGCTGGGGGCTCCCACTTTACGCCACCCAGGGCTTCTGAGCCACACAAATTCCCTCGCTCAGAGACGACAGCGGAGCCTGATTAAAGCCATAGAGGCCTCATTGTCGCCCGCGCCCGGGTCTGTGTCAGGCGCTGGCTTTCATGGCGTGGAGCCTCTGGCTGGGGTCAGGCCCCAACAAAAGGGGTCAGAGAGGAAATTAGCAGCCCGTGAAGTCTTAGAAAACCCCGTTGGTGTCCACTCTACTGGAGTGTGCAAATAGAATGCCCCCGAAGACGAGTTCAGTTCTAATGGGCCCTACTGCTGACACAGGGCGGCCTGGCTCCAGCCGCCGGGGAGCACCTCGGGGCTCCCCCAGTCGAGCCAGGCGGGATGTGGAGGGCCCTGGGCCTGGCCAGAAATGAGACCTGCTTCTCCTGGGGGTGGCCTGTGGCAACCCACCCAAGGCACACCTCCAACCGCAGCCCAGCACGCCCGCCCCCCGCCCCCCGCAGGCTCCTGCTGCTCTGCAGTTGAGGTGGTAAATGCCTTCCCTAGGTCCACGTCTGGCGCCCAGCCCACCACAGAGGCCCAGTGATTCATCCCGGCCTCCCAGCACCACTACTTGACACGTTGGATCCCATTCAAGTCTCACAAACATTCTTGGATGGGTGGGTGCTATTCCCATTCTGCAGATACAAAAACAGAGGCCGCCTGCCCAATGCATCCCAGACAGCTAGCACCAAGACTGGGCCTAGAACCAAGGCTGAGACGTCAAAATGAGTGTCCCCGTGCTTACACCATGCTGGGTCTCAGTAAATACGGCAGTCCCTCGGTGGGCATGCGTGTCAGGCTCAGAGCTGGGGACGAGGAGTGGCCCCGTGTTCCAGCAACTCCTGGACTGCCCACGGGAGCAGTCAGGCCGGCCTGGGCCGTGGAGGCCCCCTGTTCTAGGAGCGATGACAGCCTGGGGTGCTGGGAGCGGGTGGGGGGTGTGTCCTGGGGAGGGTGGGAGGGTGACTAAAATGGTGAAGGGGACACACACACACAGACATGTGACTGGCCAGCCCTTCACTGTGCAGAGTGGGAAACTGAGGCCAAGTTAGGGGAAAGCAGTGACTTGGGTTGGGAGCACAGGACAAAGCCAGGGCATGAAGTTGGGCCTCCAGTGCCCAACGCCCCAACCCCTGGCTGAAGTCTGCAGGGGATATTCAGAGATCACCCCAGAGTCAGCCGCTGACCCCATTGGAGGTCGCTGCTTCCTTCAGGGGCCTGCAATACACGGACGGGGCCTCAAATAACGTCAAAACAGCTCCGCCCCATTGCCCTGAGCGTCACAGCTGGCAGCTGCCTAATGCCTCCGGAGCCAGCGTCCTGGGCACCCAGTTAGAAACCAGCTCGGGAATAGAGAACAAACAGCCCCCCTGCCAGCTCCCCTGGGTCTGAGCCTTGGGTCTCGCCCCGGGACGCCCTGACCAGACGCACCGGAGGCGCAGGACCAGTCCCTCCGCCTGCTGGATGGCCTGCGGGTTACTGCAGAATGAACCTGCTGGGGTGCAGGGCCTGGGGCATCCTGAGAGCCTGGCCTGCATCTACCATGGCCAAGTCTGAGAGGGGGAGCTGAGAGGGGATGGAGGCCTGGGCACCAGATATGTAGCGCCGTCACCACCATCGTCACCACCACCGTCAGGGCGCTTCACTGCCGGGAAGAGCCCTCTCTGCCAGCTCAGGGCCAGATGACGCTCACACCAAAGCCACTGCTGCGGCTGAACCCAGGTTGTGCGTAAGTCCCTGTGGTCCCGAGGGCGCTGGCCGGGATCCCGCCTGCTCTCTCCACTTAGGGAAGTGAATTGGAATGTAAGTGGTGCCGGGTGACGTCATTCCAGGGACAGCCTTGAATCCACTCTCATCGCTTTCTGGTTGTTTTTCAGGAAAGTCGCCGGCCCCTGTTGGTGCTGCACTCGGGTCAGGAGGGAACGTGCACACTGCCTCCTCTGCAGGGTCCAGCACATCCTGCATCTCAGCCGCGGCGACAGCGGGTCCAGAGAGAGCCTTGAGGCCTGTCCGCTATTAGCCTCACGGCAATCGGGGAGGCAGGGACCGAATCCCCCTTAAAGACCAGGACACCAGAGATGGAAAGGTCCCCAGGTGCCCGCCCCTGTAAGCTCTGCCCTGCGGGGCAGAAGGGCAGGTGGCTGAGTCCTGGGACAACCTAGCCCTGCACCTCCAGCTCTCACCTCCTGCCTCCCTCCCTCTCATCACTCCCTCCTGGTTCATCTTCAGCTTCTCTTTTCAGAGCCAAGCACCCACCTGAGACAGGAAGCGTACTAGGATGTGTGGCCGCCATCACTGCCTAGTTAGCTGGAGCTCCGGACCCTGCATGACGAATCACAGCCTCCCCGGAACCATCCAGTCTGTGCCTCAGCAGCGGCAGCCACGCACACGGACCAACGGGGCCCGAGACATGGCCCTCTACCCTGCCCATCAGCCCCACACACAGATGGGAGATCCCAGCTGCAGTCTGTGCTCCCAACCCCTGGTTCCCAGCCTGGACCACACAGTGCAATCACCCAGAAGCTATAAACAGCCAGGAGAGTGTGGGAGACGGGTGCTCACACGGCGACACGCAGGCTCCTGCAGGACACGGAGCCAGCCTCTGAACGTGTGCAGTTGTATTCCAGCCAGGAGAGTGTGGGAGACGGGTGCTCACATGGCGACACGCAGGCTCCTGCAGGACACAGAGCCAGCCTCTGAATGTGTGCAGTTGTATTTGTGTGTGTGCACGTGTGTGCGTGTGTGCATGTGTGTGTGCGTGTGTGTGTGTGTGTATGTGTGTGTGTCGGGGGGAGGGGGGTGTCCTATGTCTTTCCTTTCGGTTGGCCAGAAACTCATCAGGCCAGCGTGCTTCTTGCTGTAAAATGTCCCCTACTCTTCCTATTCGCTGCTTCCAATTTAGTTGTGAGCTAAGGAAACAGGAGTCATCCCCAGCCGCCGGGCTGTGTGTAAAGCAGGGGCACACGGGGCTGGACTAGGACACGCGCTGCTCTCCTGCGGGTGAAGCGAGTGACCCCCAGGGCTCGGACACCGCGGCAGCTCCCTGGCTCTGGGGGCTCTCTGCGCGGGCTGGATTCCCGAGGACTGAGGTCACTGGACAAGTGGTCCCTGGGTAAGGAAAACGTCCCTGCCTCGTCTTCTGTGATCACATGCGCACTAAGCTGGGGGAGACTGCTGCGAGACGGACAACCCAGCTTGAAAACGCAGCTCCGACTCCCTCAAAATGGCATCTACTTGGCAGTCACCCATGGAGCCCCTCCTTGTTCTGTTCCAAAATAGCTATAAAGACAATGAAAAAAAAAATGAAAATTCACACTAATGCCAGAAACGAAACTGATAGATGACCCAATGCTGGAATCTGGGAGCAATCTCTATTAATTAAAGGCAGATGGTGGTGGAACAAGCTAAACCTGTCCAGGTTTTACCTCCGGACACAGTTCTTTGTCTGATGAGCAGAAAGATCCTTTAAAAAAAAATGAAGGAAAAATGACAGAGAAACGACAACCAGAAAACAAATGGGCAGGAAGTGGGCGGGGCCTGGTGACAGTGGCCTCCTTCAGGGAGGGAAAGCTTAAGGAAGGGCAGGGACTGGAAGGACGGTGTTTGCAGGAGGTATCTGAACCTGCATTTTTATCCAAGTTATCGATGCAGAGACGGAGAAAATCGGCCAAGGAGACAGAAGAATGCCAGCTCCACAGGGCAGAAGGGAACCGAGGGGAAAGGCTGGTCAGAATGAGGAACAGTCCCTTGCCATCCCTCTTGGAGCTAAACAGGAATCCAGCTCTCAAGCTCGCACAGGGATCTGTGAATTTTTTTTGTTGTTGTTGGAAAGTGCCAAAAGTAAATATTTTAGGCTTTGCAGGACATACGGTCTCAATCACAACTCTTCAAGTTCTGTCGCCATAGCTGGAAAACAGTCATAGGAAATATGTAACCGAAGGAGTATGGCAGACTAAAAGAATTCTAAAAAGACACATCCTCTATGAAATAGGAGAAGAAAGCCATCAGGGAAGACTACGCAAATCTGAAAAGGCCATATGATGACACATAAAGAGCGACGTAGGAGAGATAAAAGAGCTGAAAAAAACAACAACAAAAAACCTAAAAGCCCAGCACAATTAAAACCCACTCTGGAGGCAGTAAAGAAAAATGGTACTTACTGTAGAACACTGATTCAGAAAATGGAGAATGAATTGGGGAAGTTCTCCTAAAATATAGAGGAAGAGGATAGAGACATGCAAACTATGAATGAGAAAATGTTAAGGGAATAGGGGAGGAGGGGTGAGGTGACATATAATTGGAAGAGAACTACAGTGGAGGCCAAGTGGAATAGAAATAATCAATGATAGGATTCCTGAGCTAAAGACAGACCTACGTATATACGTCAAAGGAAAGGGCTCGTTGATTTGTTTTTCATCAAGGAAAAGACACCAACACCTAGACATATCTTTGCAAAACATATGAAATACCAAGATGAGGAAAAAATACATACAGATTAAAAATCAAGAAGGAGAGGTTGGCCTGATGACTATGGCACAATGTCTATGGGTCCTGAAGAGGAAAAAGTTTGTGACCCAAGAATTTTATACCTAGCTGGACTGTCTTGTATGTATGCTGGCCATGATAAACAAAAGGTATTCTCAAGTGTGCAAGGGTTCTGAAAACATTCCAATCATGTATCCTTTTTGAGAGAAATACTTAAGAATATTTCCCAACTGTAAA